GAAATTCTTCCCGATATCCAACCTAAACCTCCCCTGGCACAGCTTCAGACCCAGCCCTCTTGTCTTGCTGATGGGAAACGAGACCAACTCCCCCTTGGTTCCCTCCTCATGTCAGGGAGTTGCAGAGAGTGAGGAGGTCTCCCCTGAGCCTCCTCTTCTCCAGGCTGAGCCCCCCCAGCTCCCTCAGCCTCTCCTCACAGCACTTGTGCTCCAGTCCCTTCCCCAGCCTCGTTGCTCTCCTCTGGACCTGCTCCAGGACCTCAATATCCTTCCTGAGCTGAGGGGCCCAGAGCTGGACACAGCACTCCAGGTGCTCTCTGGTTCCCAGGAGGAGCCCTGCCCATGCCAGGGATGCCCCATCCCTGGCACTGCAGCACCAGCCCGAGCCGCCGCCGCGCCGTGCGCAGATCCCAGACTGCTCTGCAGAGACCAGGCATAAATCTCACTAATTAATACAATTACAGAAGCTCTTTATAGTAATTTTTTTTTTATTTATCAACCAGGAGGCACAATCAATCCAGTCCTAGTGCATTACCCGTGATGGCTTCTAAATATTTTTTGCCAATTAAAACGATGTCGAGGATTACTCACATCCTGGAAGGTAAGAAACACTCCCTTCTCCTCCATCATTTCTAAGGGAGAAGGAAATAGTCACAGACAAGGACAAAGAGGTGCTGGAGTGAAAGAAAACAATTTCAGAAACAAAGAACTTCTCTCGCATCAATATTCCAGCAGATTCTGCTTCGTAAACGCTCCATTTGAAAGGGAATTTTGTGAAGTAAGAAACCTGTTCTTCAAAGAAATGCAAGTCATGGAGCACAGATCAATACCCAGCCTGTCCTCTGACACAAGGGGAAGTTTACCCTGGTCATATAATGCCATTAATGGGCACAGAAACAAAAAATCTCTTCCTGGTTAGAGAGAACATAAAAAACCCTACAAATAAATATTCTTAGAGAGAGAGAAAATGACATCAGAAACAATTAAGAAGTTATTTACATGGGCAATATCAATAGCTTATATGCAAATAATTTCAAAATGAGTGAAAGGAAAAAATAAATGCCTTAAGGCAAAAACCTGATACTTTTGGGGGGGGGTGTCCAGGGGGAGGAGGAGAAAAAAAAATCATTTAAAAATTGGTGAAAGCACTTGGTTTTCACATCTCTGCTGCTTCTCAGCACCACAGAAGCAGCTGACAACAGCAGATGGCACAAAATTCAAACTCAGAATCTGTCGTGAACATCCAAGGCCTGGTGGGTCCTGAGTCCCACGGACCAGGGAGTTCTCAGGCTCATTCAACTCATTAAAATGGACAGGTTTGCCCCTGTTGGCCTCAATCTTGCTAACACTGTTGCTTTCACACACTGAAGTTGGTTATCTGGGACTTCCCACTCCCCGCAGGAACAAAAGATCCTCATCCAAAACTGGAGATGAGTTCCTTGTGGGTAAAACCACCCAAGTGTCTCGGTGGCTGCTGCAGAAACTCCTCAGGCTTCTTC